TCAACTACAAGAAGACAGAAAGTATGGTCATCAGCAACAGAAAAAACACAAAATGCGATTTACATATGTTTTATAGTAAGATTCACCCTGTACAAGACCAAGGTAGAGAGTTACTTTAGGTGATAGTTTATATGGGTAGGAGGAGAAGATAATGATTAACTCTAGACTTGAACAGGTTAAGATTGTAGTGATCGGGGAAACATCTTCTTGAGAGTCCGTTCTAAAAAGATGTAATTCGCAGGAAGAAGCTGTTTGAGTGGAACTTACTTCTCGCCGATGAAACACGGCGGTTTGACATTATATTAGACGTGAAAGTTTAACGTGTTGGAACCAAGGAATATAGTTCTTCTGAGCACTTTCCATGGAACTAGCGATAGAGCAGTGAGAGACTCGCCACATTCCGCCTGTGAACATCGATGATATAAACATCAAGCAGGTGAAGAAGTTTAAATATCTGGGAAGCGTTTTAGCACAGGATGGACAATGCGACACCGAGATCCGAAGTGCGCATTGGACGAGCGAAAGAAGCAATCCAAAATAAAATGTTAAAGAAGGTTCTGAGAAATGGAAAACAAATGGTCAGAAACAAAGAAAAGAGTGTTTGATTTGATTTGACGTGATACCCATCCTCTTATATGTCAGTGAAGGCTGGACAATTTCCCCAACGGATGAAGAGAAAACTGAAAGTAACAGAAATCTGGTTCCACAGACGGATACTGAGAATTCCATGGACAGAACCGTATGCAGCAAGGAATCATTAAAGAAAATGGCAACAGAAAGAAAATTTATACTCAGAATCAGGGATAGTTAGATGAAATTCCTTGGACACATGATGAGGAAGGAGAGCTTGGAAAACTTAACCCGCACAGGGCATATCGAGGACATGAGAGATAGGGGAAGGCAGCAAGCTACTTCCCTGGGGAGCTTGTGGATAGTAGGAGCCTTAGCAAAGGGAGAAAACAATTCACCAATTTGACACTCACAGGAACAGAGGAAAACCGCGTATAACCTACCTAACGAGCTTGTGTAAATGGTTGGTAGAATGGGGATTAGGAGAGATAGCAAAAGACAAACGATATTTCTTCATTATGTGCCCTAGGAATTTAAATTCTCTCTTTTGTTTGTCAATTGTATAAGGGAATTTCCTGTCAGCTATTTCGCTATAGCTGGTAATTTGGAGAACAGGTTCCCACGTGGGTGCTTACATGTACACTACAATCTTAACCTCTTCAAGTCAAGGATAATCGCTATCTTCCTTATCCTCATAATCTTCACTTTCTCTTACATTCATACCACATCCTCTACCATGAGTGGCTCTTGAGTGCTGTATTTGATGGACTTTAGTCTGCGAGACTAGCTTGATAACTATTGTTCCAAGGTGATGAACAAATAAAACTTTTTTTTTTTTGACACAATACTACAACAGTATGGATCGAATTCAATAGATCTCAAGACTAGCTTACTAAAAATTTGCTCCACGGTGAGAATCACAAACATTTATTAAGCTCTGCTTGGATTGGCACAAGGCCACGATAATGGCAGATCCAGGAGGATCGAACTCATTATACGAGTAAATGGTCTGCAAGATGAACTTGTTAACCATTGCGCTACAGCTGACGCTCAACAAATTTATTATTGATATTTACTAAGCTTATTTTAATTAGTCACAAAGCCACGATTTATGATCACCAAATGACGAGCAAACACAGTATAATAGCAATAATTTAAGAAACTGGCTTTTTAACCATTACTCGGCGTTTGTAGTTTTTTAGCTTAGTCTGGTAAAAGGTCACAATAAAGGAGCACCTTATGATGAATTGTTACTACCTTGATAAACATTACTTTATGGCAAGCGCCCTTTATAGTAAAAAATGTAAATGGTAATTCTTTTTACAGAGTAAATTCAAAACGGTTTTTATTATTAAAGAATTAGGAATGTGAAAATTTTTCAGTAGTTTTTTTAAACTAGCTCGAATACACAGTTGAAAACTTTTTTCTAATAGGAACTTTTGGCCCACATCTAATGAACAAAAACGAATATAAATGGTTATTTGGGGGGGTTGTTTTTATAGGGAGAAAGACAAATTTCTACTAAATGCAAAATGATAAAAATCTACGTCTATTTTTAAATACAATTTAGAAAAAAAAGAAAATAGTTTAGTTTTCCACAATTTTATACAATGTCACTTAAACAATCATCATGTTTTTCTTTTTAATTTTCATCTTTGCTCTAGAAAGCTTCTTTTTTTTATTAGTTTTTAAAAGCGTTTAAAAAATGCCATTAGTCAAGACTGGTGGCGATGTAACCCACTACATAAAATCTGTTCCCGTTCGACAAGATAAACGACTCTGCTTTGAAACCAAGTCGACGGGCAGCCACAGAGAAAAAAAAAATAAATAGATAAATAAAAAACTCGAAAAGAAACTAAAAGAGCAACAAGGTAACATCTTCATTATTGCATTGTACGACTGATTGCGGGACACCTGCCAAATAGGCCCAAATTTAATACATACATTCCCCACTTGCTCCGCCCATTTTTAATTGGCGATTGGGTGTTTTCATAAACAAATCATGATTCACGCGACACCCATTCACTTCCACAGACGATCATTTCTCATAGACATTCTTAAGCAATTTCAGAAGGACAGGCATGAAAACGATGCTTACGCTGCAATTCACATATGTTGCTTTGTCGTTTAGCAAAGTCCTACAGAAAGTCAAATGGGAAGAATGGTGATAGACTGAATTGTAACAATCTTCCATGTGGAGAAAACATACATTATCATCAATAGACAATAGATTTGTTGATATCTGTCTATATATCCGAGATGATTACTTGCATTATTTACATTATTCGGACTGTTATCCCCATCTTCATTGCCCTATTCACAACGTTTCGGTCTCTATATCTCTGAGATGAGGTATCATGATTACTTGCATAATTTAAATTATTCGGACTGTTACCCTCATCTTCATGCCCATATTCACAACGTTTCGGCCGTTGTACGCTGTGGTCTTCTTCAGGTGATTGGAATTTCCAACCACACGGTCCAGTGGATAAAGACGTTGGTTAGATCCAGAAACTAGACCCAAAGAGTTGTGAGTTCAACGCCAGGCAAGAGCAGTGGTGAACCAACACCTGGAGAGTTGAGTTAAAGGGAAATAACTGAGATATCCGGAAGAGGCATGGAACTAGAATAATCTACCCCGGTGGGTGAAATAAAAGGTTTGGTTCTAAATTCCAATCACCTGAAGAAGGCCGGAGCGTACGACGGCCGAAATGTTGTGAATATGGCAATGAAGATGAAGACAACAGTCCGAATAATGTAAATAATGCAAATAGATTCGTTGATGTACCTATGTAGATCTTATATAATTTTTTTTTCTATTTATAATAACTGTAAAAATACTGTTACACTCATTTTCAGCCTCGTCTTGAGTATGACGATAAACTACATCCGGCAGCAAGGCCTCTGATTGGGAGATTGGAAATTTTGAAGAGAGTGAAACCACCTCTTAACTACTGTTGTTTCCAGGTCCACCTTGAACCAGACTTTGGGGGGGGGTGAGTACCTGTTAGGGTCCCAGCTATGAACAAATAATGAACCTCCAAACAAAAATCAACATTGCTTTTTTAAAATAAAATGAGATAACGATATATATTTTTATAAATCAAGGACAGTATTGGGGAAATTGTATGACAAAGTAGAAAAAGTGTCATACAATTTCCATAATAAAATGAGCAACAATATCTTTTTATAGCAAAATAACAATTAAGCAACACTAAAAATAATATAGAAATACATTTTTATTGTAAAATTATCAACAATACATTTTATGACCTACAAATTATATATATAAAAAGTAAAATATACATTTACCCTGAGACTATAAAATTATGTACAAGGTATCTGGAGTTGAATTGTGTGCGGAATATTTAGATTTCGGTATTAAATAAAAACATAGAGGCTGATATGCCGCTAAACAAATTTAACAAAACCAACAATACCTATTAACAGTAACTTTGCAGTAAAATGACCAACCATACATTTTATCTGTAGGTGAGGGCATACAAATGCGTTCCAAATATACAGATTTCGGCATTAAATGACTCATAGAAGTTGGTATGATGCTAAATAAAATCAACCAACATTTTCTACTTTGAGAAGAGGCAGCACCACACACAGTACTATACAAAAGTATTTGGTCATTTTAAACTATTGTAAATCTCTAATTATTGTTAGTTTATAAATGGATGATTTGTACAGCATTTTCTCCAGATAAAATATTGATCCCAATGTGAATCAGTTTCATGTATATTATATATATATTTCAACGTTACTTTTTTAAAATAAAATGAGATAACGATATATATTTCAACATTACTTTTTTTTAAATAATTTTCGTAGTACGGATTCTGAATGAGAGAGAAAGATGCAAGACAACCCCCAAGAAATTTCTGTTGCGAAAAAATATTCTCAACCAGACTGACTTTTTTCCTATAAATATGATCCATTGATCCATTGATTGATTGATTCGTTTTCTATGGCTTATCAAAACTTTGCAGGTTATTTAAATATTTTTAGTGTCTAAGAATTTTTTTGAGTTATTAATAACGTTACTGAAACACGTTTTACTAATTAACCCATAACTAGGTGAGAATTGATAGATTAATACCTTTCCTAACGGTATTTACGCGTAAATAAATATAAGGAACCCGAGTGGATTTGGAACTCGGCTCTTCGATTAACAAATTCCGAGCCAGTATCAGTTATACCGCCGAACATCCAAGCTTACAGCACCTGATATCCCCAAGCGGTCACCTGTCCAGGTACTCAGTAGATAATAATGTTTTAGTAATACAAATTTTACTTATTAACCCATAACTGAGGGGAGAAGAGGTGGATTCATACCGTTCCCAAGTGAATATAACAAACCCGACTGGAATTGGAACTTGGCTCCCCGATTAACAATTCCGGGCTACTACCCGCACATCCAAGCGCCTGATATTCCCAAGCGTTCACCCATCTTGGTAGTGAGCAGGCTGACCGTTGCTTAACTTCAGTGATCGTACGAGAACCGGTGTTTCAACGCGATGTGGCCGTAAGCCTTCCTGCAAATAGTATTGTTGTAAGGTCTTTGTTCAAAATAGCCTAGAATTAGGAAGGTCGTAGACCTGAAGAGCAGACTTGAGAAAACAGGTGTTGTTCGGCTGACAAATGCTATGAATAACATGGACAGATCATGTGAGCAATGAGGAAGCTTAAAGGAAAATGGAAACAAAAAGAAACAACTGAAATTTCTGGGACACATAATGAGGAAAGAAGGCTTAGGGAACTTGACACACACAGGGTATATTGAAGGAAAAAGAGACAGAGGAAAATAAAGATTAACCTACTTAATAATCTAGTGTAAATAAATGGCAGAAAAGTGTGTGGGATAGATAGGGAAAAAGACATTTGCTAAGAGGGACAAAGAATAGAAAGTTTTGGAGTTATCCTGAAGAGACATGACACATAAGAGAGATTAGAAAAAATCTTTAACTCATAAATTAAGCACTTCTTTAAATATCTGTTGTAATGTAGTCTTTATTCAAATTAGCCGAGAATTAGGAAGGGCGTAGTTAGAGAGAGTATCTAAACAATACATGAACTAGGTAGGAAAAACAAAGAAGTGGTTTATTACTCATACAGAGTAAATCAAATACTCCCCAATCCCACCTAATAGTGAGTTGTGACACTATTTAGCTATGGTAATTGACTAACTAATTAACCATAGAAATTAAAAACGGGAAATACTTAAGGCGAGAAAGAGCTATATCGAAAGATAGACTGAAAGATTAAAAAAAGAATTTATTTTATCTACAAAAGAAAGATACTTTTCGCAAAAGACAGAAAATCAGTAAGAAGGAGCGAGACTGTGATTCTGTTAAATTAATTAATGTCGCGATAAGGGAGTGACGCGTCAAACGAAACAGAATTCTAAAAGATAAACAAAGCCGGCCGACGCATGTGACCGTGGAGGAAATTTGGCTTGGGACCACCCTGGAGAGTGGCCATTGATTGTCTGTCAGAGATATCATTTGACTTTATTTCCCGATTCCAGCGAGGGAAGCCATCTGGTCTATGTACGAATCTTGACATGAAAAGAGTCGAAAAGGGGGATCATTATTATTGCTTATTCAAACTGTTGACTCGAAAATGAGCATATGGGGATAAGAGAATTTTAAGACATGAGAAAAATAAAGAATTTAATTTTCGGGTGGACACGGCCACCCAGTTGAAGGATTGACCAGCGGAAAACCCAGATGTCGGGTTTTTTGACAGTGATTAATGAGTCGATAGAGGTCCGGGCTAAGTGGATCTGGGTGTCCCCAAAATTACGATGTGATAAAGAATTATTCGGCAATCTGGGAATTGTAAATATTTTGGCCGCAGGAAAAGGAAAAAGAAAAAAAAAAGGATTTTGTAAACATGAGGGCCAGTCTAGCCACACACACCCTGCGGAGAGATCATTGGCTAAGAAGTAACATGGGTAATAGGTAGAGGTGAATGTATGAGAAAGGCGAAGAAGTTGTTAACACCCACTGAGGGGACTGGTATGGGATACCAATGTGAGAGAGGAAGAATCTAGGAGGATAACTCTCCTCCGACCATCCCTCACGGACGAGGAAGAAACCCCCGAAACGGAAAGTGATTAGTCTTCCAAAAATGGGAAGTAATTAATTTTCCTGGCCTAAGGACAAAGAGAATTCTTGTTGGAAATTGGGAATTGTCAAAGAAACCAAACCACGTCAGGCCCCACCTCGGAGTTGGTCGGTGTCCATATAAACAAACGTCTCGAGGCAGTTTCAGAGACACGGTCGGAGTTAGAGAGTCAGTGTGTTGCCTCGCAGAAGCTGATCGAAAGATTTCCACGTCCTTTTCGACTTAGTCTTCCTACCAAAAGCAAGTTTTTATTGACGAACGACTTAACTCGCTTAAGAAACGCAAAAAGTGTCAAGAATCCATAGAAACGGGCCGGGAGAGAAACACACTCCTGTATTCAACAGATAGATAAAGATAATTGTTATTTCTCAACATACTTGAACCTCGTGAGTTTGTTTTATTATTTTTCTTTTACTTACGCTTGTGCGGTATCACCTTTAGCCCGGATTCAGCTTGCACTACGGCCCGACGCCTGATTGATTTCGTCTAACTAAGATCAAAGTCACAACGTGGGTAGGTTAAACTTGAGATCAAAGTAGTTACTTCGGTGACCAAGCGTTGGAGGCGAGCTGAGAACGACAAACCTGGTATCGAACCGGAAACGACCAGGACACAGGCTGGTGGCAGCGACAGAGAGTCAACCCCAAAACGCTGGTAGAAGAAACCTTATAGCTTCGCGCCGCAACTGGGAGTTGACCACGGGCCGACGGCGCAGTGTCATATATTGACGTCGCGACCAGTGGACGTCACATATTGGCGCTGGACTGCGATCGCGACCACCGGTGGGTATCACAGAGTTTCTAAGCAAAGCTTAGATGTGTCACAAGGCTGAAAGTATGAAGCATCCAGTTAGGATCGAACTCACTATTCAGTCGTAATTGATCTAGCGAGACAAGCTCGCTAACAATTACACCACACCTAAATTCCACTTTAATGTAGCTGCTTATCATATTTATAAGTAGGAACAGTCCATTGTCACAGTAGTAGGGGAGAGAAGGAAGTCAGGTGAGTCATACTCTACAGCATGTATATCCGATAATAGCAAATGCTTTCAGTTTCTGAAAGGTCATTTGATAGATAGCACAATTTTATGAAAGCGAGATGTTCCAACTTGACGGAACTCAATACCACTGATCGAATCCACCACAGCAGAGACGAAGATGTTATCTTATTGAAACTCTAACAAAGCCGTGAGTGGAATATCATTGAAAGACGACCTGGTTATGACGATAAACTACATCTGGCAGTAAGGCCTCTGATCGAGGACGATTGAAAAGCGTGGAACCACCTCTTGGCTGCTGTTGTTCCCAGGTCCACCCTGATCCGGGGTGGTAGTACCTGTTAGAGTCCCAACTATGGGCAAATAGTTAACACCACGCAAAAAAAACAAAAAAACTGGAGTCAAAACGTTATGAAAGTATAAAAATAGATTTTTATAGTGAAAATACCAGCAACACATTTTTGAAAAAAAAAATTACTAGGAGTAGATTCGATTCTCGACAAAAAACATCTTTACAAAAATACGTCAATGGAACCTGATCTACAAACTGATTTCTTATAAAGAATATATATTCTATTCATACGAACTTATCCTAAAATCTTGTCGGCATTAAATAACCCATTGAGGTGTTGATGTGCCGTAAAACAAATGAAAGCAAACAAAAGAGAAAAGTTCACCCAGAAGAAACCACACAATCATGAAGAGTTGTAGAAGCCCAGCTTGAGAGAATGGCCTCTCACTAGAGAGAATGGCCAGTCATAGATGTGAAGACGATGAAAGATTTATACACGTCCCTTCCCAGACGCCTTTAAGAATTTATTTATGATAAGGGAAGACTCACGAAATATTAACAATGGACATTAATTTCTTGAAATTAACATTATTTAATAAATTTTCACTATAGTCATTTTTTCTGTTTTTTAACAATGTATCATGCTTAGTTAGTGAAGGGGGCTGAAAGCATTTACATGGTCGTTTTGGGAATTCATCTTGTATCTTCCTCTTTCATTCAGAGCCCATGTCATGAAATAATTGCGTAAGGAAATAATTCTAATAGGGCTAATGCTTTTTTTTAGAGAGAGAGAGAGAGAGAGAGAGAGAAGGCTGCCCGAAAGAAATTATTAGGTTTACGATAGGTTAAAGTGGTCAACTGTGCCTGTGTGTACATGCATTAACCAATCAAATCCCAAACTGAACAGTATTTACAGGTAAAATTTCATTAGCAAAAGTCATTTATGTCTTATACTGATTTTCCAAGCATAGCTTAGATGTGGCACCAAGCCGAAAGTAGGGGGCACCCAGTGAGAATCGAACTCACTACTCAGTCGTAATTGTTCTAGCGAAACAAGCTTGCTAACCATTACACCACCTCGAGGTGCCCTTATTTATGTCTTATATGCCTCGATGGATTATACAGAGGTAGTTGCGAAACTGTAACCAATAACCTGAAGCTAAACGAGCATAATGCTTTATGTGCTATGCGTGCAGGCGGTCATTTACAATGCGAAGAGTGGACATATACTAGTGTAATCCTTATAAGTCTATCGTCTGGTGGATATTCATGAGTTCAGTGTGTATTTAAGGATTCGCTTGAAATCGCAGGCAGTTCACTGCTAGTGACAATTGATAAAATATCATGATTAGCTACAATGTACGGTGGACCGTGCATTTCACAATTTAGTGTTCTTTTTTGTTTCTTCTTTGGCGGCTAACACGTTTTTGAAGTCTCTATATATATTTGCAGCACAGAATCGATAGACTCGAAAAAAAACAGAAACATCACTCACTGTTTTTCTTCATTTCTTTTTTTTTCTTCAATCTTTCCATGGTAAAAAAAACATGGCGATGCATTAACATAAATGACAATGAGATACAGGGTGTGTCACGTTTCTGCGACCATGTCTTTATCAGGAAAGCGACCTCACGTAATTTTACGCGATATGAGCCAAATGTTGACATTCTCATTTCTCTTTTATTGGCGTATCTGAGAACACTAACATACCAGATTCCAACTGGACACAAGAAATTAAAAAGGTCCGACGTGCTTGTGACACTAATTGGCAACTACAGCGATTCAGAAGTAGACAACTTCTTGTTGCAAGTGAACTGAAATGAAGGATAGCCCAGCTTTACAGACACAGCGGATGTGTCTATAAACGATCTTCACGCTATCCTCTAAGAACAAAGGAAAACCGAGCCTTACAGACACAGAACATGTAACAACATTCGCACTTCACCATTCCTCGAGAACAGAAAATGACTCATCCGCCTCCTATTGTCCATTAAATGAAGAAATAATTGTCAAGTTTCTTTTGTTCTTACTCCATGAATTGATTCATCTTTTACAAATCTGTGAGTCACGTCCAGCGAGAACATAATGGAACCCACAACAGACTTACG